TTAAAGAGACTGTCTTTTTTCCATTGGATGTTCTTTCCTGCTTTGTCAAAGATTAATTGGCCATACATTTGTGGGTCTAGTTCTGGGGTTTCTATTCTATTCCATTGGTCTATGTGTCTGTTTTTGTGCCATGAACAATGGGGTTTTATACAGCTGACCTTTGAACAACACAGGGTTAGGGGCACCAATGCCACCCACCCCACGCAGTCAAATCCTCATAAAACTTCTGACTCCCCCAAAACTACTAGTAGTCTACTGTTAACCAGAAGCCTTAACAATAACATGGTCAATTAACACATACTCTGTATGTTATACGTATTATATACTGTATTCTTACAATAAAGTAAGCTAGAGAAAAGAAAACATTATTAAGAATATCATAAGGAAGAGAAAATGCATTAACAGTACTTATAAAGCCCACATAAAAGTGGACCCATGCAGTTCAAATCCATTTTGTTCAAGGGTCAACTGTATATATGCCCTTTCTAGACCACTTCAGAAACAAATCCAGATGGAACAAAAATGCAGGTCTTAAAATAAGCTTCATGAGGGCATAAAGACTTTGGCTGTCTTTCCAACAAATCATTTTTCAATTATAGGTAACCTATAACATCCCACAATGAATTCAAAACACTACACTTTGTAGAGTAGCCATACAGGAAATTACAAAACTCCCTTTTAAGAATGTCTCCTTATTCCTTCAAATCAAATGAAGTGTTTCCCAGGGGTATCTAGAGGAGTTTTAGAATAGTTCAGTTGATATCTCTAGATCCTCACGGAAAACAAAGCAGAACATGTGAGCTATATAAACTGAATTAAAATTATATATTCATTCCATATACTTTATCTTCCAACTCTTAAAGTGATTCTTTCATGTCAGCCACTATGTATTAATACAGAAACTGTGATTTTTATATATACAAATCAAATGATTTTCCTTTTTAGCTACAAAGTTATTACTAAATGTCTTACTATATAAAAAAATAAGTCCAACATGTTCACTCATCTTCATAAAGGAGTTCAACATCTTCATAAAGCCAAATACAAGCTGAACTTACCACTTTTTTAAAATCATCTTCTGCTTCATCAAGTTTTCCTTGTTTGAGTAATAAGTGACCTCTCTGTAATCTTGCCTAGAAAAAAGAAAGGGTGTTCTGAGAACCACGCATTACCAAATTTTCTTTAAACACAAAGAATGAAACCAAATACACTAATAAACTATTAACGAAATATTTATTTTTCCAATGCCCATTTGACTTGGCACTCTTGAGAACAATTCCTGGAACCAATGAATGTGTATAATATTTAAGCATTAAGTATGCTTCTTTAAAAATACTTTTTGTGCTATATCCCCCAAAATTGAAAATATGTATCCACACAAATCTTGTACATGGATGTTCAAATCAATAGCTAAAAAGTAGAAATCACCCAAATTCCTATCAACTAATAAATCAATAAGCAAATGTGACACACACACACACACACACACACACACACACACACACACACACACATAATGGAATATTGCTATTGTTATTCAGCATTAAAAGGAATGAAGTACTGACACGTGCTACAACATGGGTGAACCATGAAAACAATATGCTAAGTGAAAGAAGTCAGACACAAAAGGACAAATACTAAATGATTTCATTTATATGAAATGTCCAAATAGGCAAGCCCACACAGACAGAAAGAAAAGTGGTTGCCAGAGTCCAGGGCATAAATGGGGAGGGACTGCTAATGTGTACTCGATTTCTTTTGGGGGTGATAAAAATGTTCTGGAACTAGACAGTGGTGATGCCTGCACAACCTTGTGAATACACTAAAACACCACTGAATTATACACTTTAAAAAAGGATGAATTTGATGATATGTGAATTTTATCTCAATATTTTTTTTTTTTTTTTGGCCATCGTAATAACTTTTGTCACCACAAAAAAAAAGCTGTGTAATTTGGGACTTTACCAATCAAAGTTCTAGATATAATTTTGTTTTTATTAACTTTGGAAATATTCACTCTACTACAACCGAATAACACCTCTTCCCTTTTCCCATGCATCATTTTTCCCCCTCCATCTCTGGTATTCCTCTTCTCATGTGCATGATCCCATCTCTTCCAAGAATACCAACTCTCTGATGACCAATGTGACCATAAGACAGAAACCACACTGACATTCCACTAAAACTTAACACATTACTGGGGCGCCTGGGTGGCTCGGTTGGTTGAGTGTCCGACTTCAGCTCAGGTCATGATCTCGCGGTCAATGGGTTCGAGCCCCCCATCTGGCTCTGTGCTGACAGCCCAGAGCCTGGAACCTGCTTCGGATTCTGTGTCTCCCTCTCTCTCTGCCCCTCCCTCACTCACACTCTGTCTCTCTCTGTCTCAAAAACAAATAAACATTAAAAACAAAAATTAGGGGCGCCTGGGTGGTGCAGTCGGTTAAGCGTCCGACTTCAGCCAGGTCACGATCTCACGGTCCATGAGTTCGAGCCCCGCGTCGGGCTCTGGGCTGATGGCTCAGAGCCTGGAGCCTGTTTCCAGTTCTGTGTCTCCCTCTCTCTCTGCCCCTCCCCCGTTCATGCTCTGTCTCTCTCTGTCCCAAAAATAAATAAATGTTGAAAAAAAAAAAAAAAATTAAAAAAAAAAACTTAACACATTACTTTGACAGTACAAAAAATTTCCCTGATCCTCTGTTAAGCGCATCAACACACATAAAAAGGAAAACGAAGCCACTTTAACTAACTAATAATACTAGGAAAATGAACTACTCAACTTTTGTGAAAGGTTGTGCTCAGTTAGCTAGGTAAAGTAACAGATTAAAAGAAAGTCTGACACTTGGCAATTCCGTCCTAAAATAATAGTAATATTTCAAACCAAACATTCACCCATATCTAATCAGTTATCCCAAGTCCTTTTTAGATTATGGCAGGATATAAACAGTAAACGGGCTACCAAATTAATTTTGAAAGCATCTAACTTATCCCATTATTTTAAGCCATTACACTAAATGCCAAACATCAGGATATCCCATTAGACTGTAAATTCCTCCATTTCTGAAGCTTGTGTGTTGGTTGCAGGGGAGGATGCCATCTAATTCAGAACTGTGTCTACTACAAACCACTATGTAAGTGACCTATCTCCTTTTCTTTATCTTTCCTATGACAGCCTTAATTGGAACTACTGTCAGTCACCTGACAGCCTGTTAATTCAATAGCCTCTTGATCAACTGGTTACTCAGCCTCACATCTTGCCCTACACTCCCCCCAAAAACAGAGGTCTTTCTAAGCCACAAGGATGATGTCACTGCCAAGCTTCTAAAATTCACCAAATTTACCCACTGTTCCTTTTTCACACAGATCTTTGATTCCAGGGACTTTGGATTGTTCTTACGGCCCAGTCTACTACACCACAGCAGCTTCCTATGCTCCCCAGCTATGCCTAACAGGTCGATCCTCACCTTTAAAAACAAATTACCTCTTCCAAATTCCCTTAAGTTTTCTTTAAAGGAAGTTTAGATGCACTTACTGCAGTAAAATCCATCTTCAGTTCAATCACCTTAGTTAAATCAGGAAGTGCTGCTTTTGATTTGCCCATAGCTAAAAAGACAGTAGCTCTCCGATAGTAAGCAATATAGTTATCTGGGTCACCATCTGAAAATTAAAATAATAAATATTAGCTCTTGGTAATTTCCTTAAAAACACAAATCACCTGAACCATACTAGAGTTTGCAATTCCCTTAAGGCATTTAAGAGTCTTTCCATCAATAATGGGTCCAGGTGACTAGCAAGATCACTCCAAATAAATCCAGAACAGGATTGGCAAACTGTAGTCTCTGAGCCAAATCCAACCCACAGGCTTCAAGAATATCTTTTACATTTTTAAAGAGTTGTCAAAAAATAAAAATAAAAATAAATGCACAGAGACTGTATGGCTGAAAAGCTTAAATATTCATCATCTGGCTCTTTAGAGGAAATGTTTGCCAACCTCTGATCTAAAATATTAACTATATTCGACTCACAACTTTTATAAGTATGCAATTCAGTCTTTGTCTTTACTGAAATTTCCTTAAGTTAAATACTGATTGAGGAGCACCTGGGTGGCTCAGTCAGTTAAGCATCCGACTTCAGCTCAGGCCATGATCTCATGGTTCGTGAATTCGAGCCCCTGTGTCAGGCTCTGTGTGGACAGCTTAGACCCTGGAACCTACTTTAAATTCTGTGTCTCCCGTTCTCCCTGCCCTCCCCCACTCATGCTCTCTCTCTCTCTCAAAATAAACATTAAAAAAATTTTTTTTTAATACTGATTGAGAATGTGACTATGCTTTATTCAGAGTTAAGAAAATTATAGACTTCCAATTAAACTGACATATTAGGGGCCCCTGGGTGGCGCAGTCGGTTAAGCATCCGACTTCAGCCAGGTCACGATCTCGCAGTCCGTGAGTTTGAGCCCCGCATCAGGCTCTGGGCTGATGGCTCGGAGCCTGGAGCCTGTTTCCGATTCTGTGTCTCCCTCTCTCTCTGCCCCTCCCCCGTTCATGCTCTGTCTCTCTCTGTCCCAAAAATAATAAATAAAAAAAGTTGAAAAAAAAATTTTATAAACTGACATATTAAATGTACAATCTCTGTTCCCTCACAAATTCCAAATAATATGGCAGTGAAGAAATAAAGATACAAACCTTAGGACAAAGGAGGAGAATGGAAATGAGACAAGACTAAGTTACCAATATTTGAAAGAAGGAAAACAGATGGATGATTAGGTTTTTTAGCTAATTCTACTTTACTCAGTGGAAGTAAACCTTGTGCTGCCAAACAGTCCTTCTAGAAAGCAATTTTGAAATACATATGTGTGTGTGTGTATGTGTGTGTATATATAGATATAGATATAGATACATAGATATATATCTTGACCAAATCCAGCCACGTGTCTTAAACAAATATTTATTTATGCACAGTTCTATCATTATAAGATTTACAACTAAAACTCTCTGAAAGTTCTACCCCTGAAGGTCTTATCATCTGAAAAACATGACCAATGGCAATCTATGACAGGATGGTTTGTCATCATTCAAAATATGGTTTTGAGCAGTTGTTAATGGCATTAACCTACCTGAACCACTGCTGAGCAAAAGAGGACAGGAGGAGAAAGTAAAGCTATAAAACCATATATGAGAGAAGATATACAAATGGCCAAAAGCACATGAAAAGATGCTTACCATCACTAATCATTAGGGAAAGGTAAATCAAAACCACAGTGAGATACCACTTCCCATCCATTAAGATGGCTATTACAAAAACGAAGGAAGCAAGGAGAGAAAGGGAGTGAGAAAAATGGGGAACAACTGCTTAATGGGTAGAGTTTCAGTTTGGGATGATGAAAAAGCTCTGGAAATGGATGGTGATGCAGGTTGCACAAATATGTGAATGCGCTTAGTGCCACTAACCCAATACACTTAAAAATGGTCAAAATAGTAAAATTTTGTAACATACTTTTCATTATACCATTTTATTAGGATCATATTTTTGAAAAGCTATGAAAACTGGGCATTTTAACAATTAAAGAACTATTTTTTCCTCAAATCTGAAACAAAAACCAAAAACAATCCATACATCCCAGCTAAGCATCACTGAAAATTTCTTTCCTGATCAATTTTGCTCAGGAGACCAGGAAAAAAAAAGAGCATAGTCAGCCGCCTGTATATAGGGTATTTCCTACAAAATGCTATAATTAGCCTGAGGAAAAAGTAAGATATAGAGTAACTATACTTAAGAGCATAAATGATATATAATATTTTTAGGTTCAGTTTATATTTGATTTAGAATGTACAATAAATTAAAAATATGTGAGTCTGGGCAGCATAACTGGCCTGAACAATGACTTGATACCAGTCACTTTTAAGTGACTGCCTCTGAAAGTAAAAGGAAATTCACGACATGTCAACAGTAGTTATCTGGGCAGAGAGATCAGATTTTCTTCTTTATACGAAACACATTCCAAAATGTTTCATAATAAACATGGAGTGCTTTTATATTCATTAATTTAAAAAAAATTAAGTTTTCCATGACTTATTTACACTAAGCAAAAAATACTAGAAGTAACATGATTTAAGACCTGGAGTTTACATCACACATGATCATCTTCGTATGTCCAAATCCTACTCAATCTTTGAGGCACAGCTCAAATGACTCATTTGATGACACATGTGAAATATATACCTTCCATTCCCTCAATTTCCATAACATTCTATAATATAGTATACCTCTTACTGTGCCCATAACACTTATCACTCCCTCGGGTATCAATTATTTATACACACACCTCAGTCTAGAGAAAATAAAACTCCTTGAGTGAATTCACTCGAGTGTCTCCATATGACCTGGCCCAAGGTATTCAAATAAAAGGAAATGGAAACAAATTCCTGATCACCACAACAAATGCCAACACTGAGACCTGCCTAGGACAAGCAAGGGGCTAAAGTCAGTACAGACATGGCTTCTTTGGTGTTTCTTTCATTTCCACAGGACGCTGTAGTACTCAGCGGGTCCCTGGAGCTAGCCAGCTTTCCCACAGGGTCTCCTCAGCCCTACCATACCCCAGGAGCTCCTCCCTTGCTTCTGGCTTTGATTCCTGGGTCCTTCTCATTGAGAAAGCCCAAGAAACCCTTCATGTGAAGGGCTTCTGTTCTGTTTGCTTTCCCTAGTGCCATCCTGTTGTGGACAAGGAGGAAGCACGCCAACATCAGCCCTGCCACCGACCAAGAGAAACATTTCCCAGCCTCCTTATGAATATGGTCCACTTCCCATGGGTCTTGTTTCCAGAGCCAGGTCTGTAAACCCAGGGAGCAAATGTTTTGTTGTCACACTCTGTCCAGCCCAGAAGAGGTTTTTCTCAGAGGGGACAAAAGAGGAAGGGGGCTAAAGTCTCTGCTGCATTGCCCGCCCTCTGGTCCCTGCAGTCCTCCCAAGTTGGCACAGAAGGTATGACAGACACTGCCATCTTTTGCTTTTCAAAGAGTTGCTGCTTGTAGAATCTGACCTCACTGGCCCGGGTAAGCTTTCCATTTGGAGTGCTTTCCATCCAGGAGGCAAAGCAAACAAACATCTGGTCACCCAGTTCCCTTTCTCCCTGCCAGCCACCCCACGCAGGGATTCCAGAGAACAGACCTGGCTCTTAAAAAGATGTGCCTCACCAGGATATTCAGATCATTCTCCCATATGAAATCAGCAATGGCATGTTGAAAAACAGATGTCGGTTATTTTGACCTCTGTATCTAGTTCTTTCAAGAAAAAAAAAAAGAATGCTTAATGCTAGCATTGGGCAACTTATCAAGAAGGTACCTACACTTCTATTTGGGGAAAAACTGACCATTTCAGTCCATGCAGAAAAACCTCTAATGAGGATTACATATGACACAGCTTTTAAGTATTTGATTACACATATATTAAAAAATGTTTATATACAATAATCTGGAGCACTTTCATTTACTTTGTTCTTCAGTTTTTAGGTATTTTTAAGGTATGAAATCAGATTAGAGACCCATTTTATAACAATGAACCTACAAAATTGAGTAATCAAATGACAATGGCTCAACATATGAATCAAGAATCAATGTTCTGAGTGCCTGGGTGGCTCAGTCATTAAGTATCTGACTCAGGCTCGGGTCATGATCTCACAGTTCATGAGTTTGAGTCTCACACTGGCCAAGCCCTGCTTCAGGTGAGCACGAACCCTGCTTCAGGAGAGCCCCCGCTTCTCTCTCTCTTTCCTCCCCCCACCTCCCTCTGCCCCTCCTGGGATTTTCTCTCTCTGCTCCTCCTTCACTTGCTCTCTCTCTCTCAAAATAAATAAATGTGCTCTTTATTTTTTTTCTTTTTTTTTCATGTTTTCAGTGAACACCTTGTTTTGTTTCTTAATATAATTTATTGTCAAGTTAGCTAACATACAGTGCATACAGTGTGCTCTTGGTTTCAGGTATAGATTCCTGTGATCCATCGCTTACATAAAACACCCAGTGCACATCCCAACAAGCCCATCCGCAAAGCCCATCACCCATTTTCCCCTCTCCGCTGCCCCTCTCGTCAACCCTCTGTTTGTTCCCTGCATTTAAGAGTCTCTTATGGTTTGCCTCTCTCTGTTTGAAACTATTTTTTCCGACAAAGCAGGAAAGAACATCCAATGGAAAAAAGACAGTCTCTTTAA